AATTTTGGTCATCAGTGTTTAAGGAGGTGTCTTGAACTGATCAACCCTAATGTAGTCTTGAGTCAAAGGAGATCTTGTGAGAAAATTCTTGATAAATGAGAGGGAAAATTTTGGGGTAAAACAGTACCCATTTGAGGTAAGGCTCAAGAGGGATGGAATTCTTATGCCTCAATGTCTTGCTATCTACCTTATTCAACATCCTTCAGGCTTGGATAAACCTCTGGCGGTGACCTTGATCGTTGTTCTCATAGTCAAATACCAAACCTTGAATAAGCATCTCATGTGGGCCATCCCTTCGGGCATAACCAAACTGTCTTAAGGCTAAACAAGGGTTGTAGGTGATACCTCCCCTAATGCCAAGTAAGGGGACATTAGGGAATTCTCCACAATAGTCGACGATAGTAACATTCTCTATAGATCGGGAACACCAATGAATGTCTGAATGTTTGAGCGTCATCATCCTATGTGACCACCTTGAACCTTGCTCGTTCTTTAATAAAGATTGGGGAAGATGCGAAATAAACCATCTTGCCAAAAGAGGAGTACAACACATAAGGATACCTCTTTTCCTCATACTGCGAGTGTGAAAAGAATGTAGGATGTCCCCTAGCAAAGTAGGCACCGAGTTACGAGACATAAAGATTTTGACAGTGTTCACATCTATGAGTTGGTCAGGATTTGGAAACAAAACCATCCCATAGATGAGGAGAGCCACAATTTCCTCAAAAGCTTTCAAATCCAAAGAGTTCCAACAGTTTTGGGCTTTCTCAAACAAAAATTTTGCTAAGAAACCTTTGACACCACTCCTTGTTTCCCAATTAGTTGTGATATCAGATGGTTGAAAGTGTAGAGCTTGAGCAATATCTTCTGGCTTTGGATCTCTTTTCGTACCGTTGAAAGGTAGTTGATTGAGAATGGGAATACTCAAGAGTTGGGATGATTCTTCCAAATTTGGCACAAGTTGATAATCGGGAAATGTGAAGCAATGGTGTAAAGGATCAAAGAACTGGAAGAACACCTTTATCATGTCCTCATCAGTGTTGGAGGTCACCAAGTTTAGTAGGCGACCATGTCTTTCGGTAAATGGAGAATTTTCAGGAATCCTTGATGCTAGATCTTTAAGTTGAGGATGGATCCTTACAAGATTGACTTGAATGGTTTTCCTGCGAATAGCATCCATGTCCTACAGAACAAAGATAAATCCCCAAAATCCTTGAAATGTTTAGTAAGTATGAGTATGATGTTATGATGTTTATGATGTTATGTACAAGTAAATATATACAAACAAAGCAAACAAGTCCTTAGGTTTAAGATTGCATGGAGTCTCATAGGTAAGTACCCTTTTGAAGTTTAGTTGGCTCAAACCTATCCTAGCAATAGTAACTGGGTTCTAAGGAGCTCAATATCACTGATTTTTTTCTTGGGCATTGTTTCAGCGCAAGCCTCTTTAATGGCGACCAAAATATCCCAAAAAACTAAACCTCAATGAGTGTAGTATCGAGTATCTACCAACTTCGGACTGCACCAAAGCCGGTCATCTCACTACGTCTTAATGGCAAAGTTGGTCAAGTAAAGGTTCTAGAAGTTCGTTAGTGCTTCATGACATCACTTAGCGGCCCCGTATTCTCCTTGACTACTCAAGGGCTACCGGTACCCACAAATATGTCACACTAACGTAGCTATTGCTTAGACCATGTCGGTATGAAGGGTGAGAAAAAACTTAGAAGGGGGGGGGGGGGGGGGTTGAATAAGTTTTTTTCTTTTTTCTTGCGCAATACTTTTGGTAGGACACTGGTATTTTTTTCCTGGTTCATTTGAAACTCAAATTACTCCATTCCATCCGCCAAGGTGATTTCGCCTCTCTCAACAAGGACTTAATCCACTATAATCAAACTGATTACAAATGCACAACCAAACTGGTGTGACTAACAATACAATACACAAGCCAACTGCAAGTGTCTATCACCTCTAAGACTCAAACTAGTCCTAGCCCTCTTGAGAAATATGAACCCAACTGGTCTCTCAAGGAACACTTACAAAATTATCTCTTAATAGTAGTGAAACAGATTTGCTTCTAAAAAGATTTATCACAACTGTGATTTGTCACTAAGATTGTTGCCCAATACTTAAGATCTACCCATTATACAATATTAGTTTACAAGTATGAAAACAATGAGCGTAAGTATATTTCACGTAAGTCAATAACCTTTCTTTGAAACAAAAGGTCTTCTATATATAGCTTCCAATTCTTGATCGTTAATGCCTTGATGAGAGTGCATGCATTTAATGAAGCGTGTTTGCAATGATGCGTGTAGGCTTGGCCTTTACGTTTCCAATGCTCGTACGCGTAGTACACTTGAGTGCGTTAGCCTTCGTAGCATTTAATAACTAACGGTACTGTCAGAGCTTGTCTTTGGAAGTTAAAGTGTTTGCTTGCAGCGTTTCCATTTCAGAGTTTACTTGATCTTTTCTTCTATCAGAGTATTCTTCAATATGTGTTCATCAGAGTTTGCTTTAATCTTGCATTTATCATATGTTGCTTTCAGCGTGCTTCTATCAGATCTTTGCTTCAGCTAGCTTAACCAGAGGTTGCTTAGGATTACTTTTCATCCGAGTTTGCTTTGGAGTGCTTCCTTCTGAGTTTGCTTTATATTTGCGTAGAATGTTGTTTCTTTCTAAGATGCATAAGTCAGAACATCATCTGAACTTAGAGAACATACAAGTCAGAGTATAAAATAAATATCACAAAATTTATTTTATTGTTATCATCAAAACTCTAAGATGTGATTAGAACCAAACTTTGTTCTAGCAATCTCCACCTTTTTGACGATGACAAAACAATTTAGATTTTGATTAAGAAATTTTGTGCAAGTATGAGGATCTCCCCATGAGATAGATAATCTCCCCCTGAGATTGATATTTCTTCTTCTGAGATAGAGAATAATTAAAGAGTTTAAAAGCATAAGAGAAACTTCCTGAGATTTGTTCTTCAGAGCTTTTAGACTTTTTTCTTTCAGAGTTTCTTTAGCAATTCTTTTCCTAATGATGTTCAGAGCTTAATCTTTCAGAGTTTCTTGAGTTCCTGCATATCTCTTAAATAAAAAAGAAACTTTGTATTTCATTAGAAATGTTTGAGACTTAGTTACATAACTGTTTTCATGGATCAGATCAAAATCTTATTTTCTCCCCCTTTTTGTCATAATCAAAAAGTAAAAAATAAAGAAATTCAAAATTGTCATATAATGCTCAAACATTGGGACACTAAACATCCCAAATTTATTCCATATCAGGACCATGTTTTAAAGCTAGCTGCAGAATTCACTGAGATCACCTTCAGTCATATCCCAAGAGAAGAAAATCAGATGGAAAACACCTTGGTAACACTATCAACCATGTTCAAGGTAACTTGGCCAAACCACGAGCCGCGCATTACAATCAGACATTTTGAAGAGCCTGCACATTGCCTTACTATTTAAGAGGGACCAGATAACAAGCCCTGGTTCTATGACATCAAGAGATACCTTGAAAAACAAGAGTATCCAGAAAATGCCTCTATCATTGATAAACAAACTCTACGAAGGCTAGCCTCAAAATTCTTTGAGTGGTGATGTCTTGTACAAAAGAAATTACGATATGGTGCTACTTTGGTGTGTGGAGAAACTGGAAGCATATCTACTTATGAGAGAAATCCATGAAGGTACTTTTAGAACTCATACAAATGGGTATGTCATGGATAGGAAAATTGCGCGAGCAGGTTATTATTGGTTAACAATAGAAATCAATTGCTATCATTATACGAAAATATGTAACAAATGCCAAATCTACGCCGACAAAATGAATGTGCCACCTACTCCTTTGAATGTCATGAGCTCTCCTTGGCCGTTTTCGATGCGGAGAATTGATATGATAGGCATGATTGAACCAAAAGAATCTAACGGATACCGTTTCATACTAGTTGACATTGATTACTTCACCAAATGGGTAGAAGTCGCATCCTACACAAATGTGACAAGTCAAGTGGTTACTCGATTCATTAAGAAAAATCTCATATGCAGATATGGAGTACCTAGTAGAATCATTACAGTCAATGGGTCCAATCTAAACAACAAAATGATGAAGGAGTTATGCGATGATTTCAAGATCGAGCAACATAATTACTCACCATATCGACCCAAGATGAAAGGGGCCGCTGAAGCTGCCAACAAAAATATCAAGAAAATCATTCAGAAAATGGTGAAGACATACAAAGATTGGCACGAAATGCTTCATATTTCTTTACATAGATATCGTACCTTTATACGCACATCAATAGGTGTAACTCCTTTCTTTCTAGTATATGGCATGGTGGCAGTGCTCCCAGTTGAAATAGAGATTCCATCACTTCAAGTTATAATGGAAACAAATCTTGAAGAAGCCGGGTGGGTTCAGACACGACTTGATCAACTTAACTTCATCGAAGAAAAAACGCCTGACAACTTTGTGCCATGGTTAATTATATCAAAATTGGATGAAGAAAGCCTTCGACAAGAAAGTCCTTCCTTGAGTATTCAAAGAAGGGGATTTGGTGCTCAAGAATATTTTTCTACCACGTCTTGATTCACGTGGTAAATGGACACCCAACTATAAAGTTCCATATGTGGTAAAAACAACATTCTCCTGTAGTGGTCTCATCCTCACAACAATGGATGGGGAAGAACTACCGCATCCGGCAAATTCAGATGCAGTCAAAAAATACTATGTATAAGAAAGCTTGCTAAGATCGGACCTTAAATAGGTGGCTTAGGAAAAAAGGATAGTCCTAGTGGATTGAAAACCCTAAAGGGAGATCCAGGCAAAAATTAGGGACATACACAAAAAAAACTTATTATCCCGGTGGATTGAAAACCCGAAAGGGCGATCCAGGAAAAAATTAGGGATCTTATTCAAAAAAAAAACTTTATGTCCATGCTTACGCCTACGCCTACGATACAACTATGTATGACACATTGAAACTATTCACCATGCTTGATCAAAATTCAAATCAACTTGGAAATACAACAACTAACAACAAGCAATGTTGGGGAGTTGGTGATTACCATAAATCGATGGTTTAACAAAGGAGAATTATCAAAAACATTTGCAAAATACTTAGGATATACACATAATTTTGGTGCATATGTAAATACTTAGGACATACATATACAAACATTTGGGGCATGGTTTTTGATCGCGGTCTTATCGGTACCCTCCATGACTGGTATATTTAAAACTTTAAATATGAACTTGCATAAATTTCTGTCTTTTTTTTTTAGACTTTTGATCATATATCATATGAATTTCTTGTAATGATTAGAATTTTTCATGCTTTGTACTATTAGGTGTGAAGCTTTTTCAACATATCCTAGAACCTATGACCTACTTCATGCTGAAGGACTCTTCACTGCAGAAAGTCACAGGTGAACTAATCACTTCTTGAATAAGCATTTATAAGTTGTTTTCATAAAACACAATTTATCACATAGAAGCAAAACTTATTCATAAGCGTTTAATTAAGTTGTTTATCCTAACGATTGGTTATTACTTATGCAGATGTGAAATGAAGTATATGATGTTGGAAATGGACCGAATTTTACGGCCCGGCAGTCACGTCATAATCCGAGAGGCTAGTTACTTTGCTGACGCGGTTGCAACTCTTGCAAAGGGTATGAGATGGATATGTCACAAAGAAAACACTGAGTATGATGTTGAGAAAGAGAAGTTGGTGATATGCCAGAAAAAGCTGTGGCAGCCATCCAACTCAGGATCAAGGTGACAAACTCATGAACCTGTGAAGGGGCGAGAAGGAATGACTATCTCGAAATCGTAATTCCAGAAGTAGAGAAACAAAGGGAAACGAATTCGGAGTCAGTCTTAACAGAAAAGATTGATTGATTCTATTATATAATATATACAGGCCAAGAATCAGTCAAGTTCAAAGTTTTATCAAATGAAGAAACTAGTAACTCAATAATTCTGATTTTGTTAAGTTATACAGAAAATTTTCTTATAGATTTTATATTCTTTGTTATATTGTATCATGTGTATCACTGTTGTTTATCTATTTTTTGTTGTTGTGTAATATTCAACTTCCATGTGAATTGTTATTCATGTGAAGAAATTAAAGTTTTAAACTTCATAGAAAGCATTTAGTTAGTATTCTATGATAATTTACAGTTCAATGTTGAGTGAGTTCAGATTGTGTTCATGTTATGTTTTGTGCAGAAATTATGTCTGATTGAATGTGAAATTGAATATAATTGCTTTCATTTACTGTATGACCATTATTCACGTGAAGGTGGATCATTATTTACTATACCATCATTATTCATATGAAGAGATTCATAAAGAAGTCATGCACAATGGAAGGAAAATCTTGATATGATGAACCAAACATGTTGGGCAAAAGGACAAGGAGCTTGTTGATGATAAAGCCTCATTTTCCATTCCTATTAATGTTAATTTGGAACTGGTACTCACCATAGCTGTAGAGTTATTATAAAAGATTAGAAAAGAAGTGGCACACTTAGAGAAAAGTATGATGCTCAAACATTGGTGTCATATGCAAGTTTATTAAAATTGAGAAACTCGAGTTTAAATTGCAAAATTGCTCAATCTTATGTTTTTAGCTATGCATTTTAAATTAAATTGTTTGTAAAATTAAATCTTTTTCAATTTTTATGAAACTTATCAAGTTTTTTTTTGGATTAGTAGAATAATCATGTATTTTGATATAAATGTTAAAATGTCATTTATTAGGGCTATTTCATATATTTTTATTGTATAAATAAGTCGAAAATTTGAATATTGTAGAAATATTTTTTATGTAAAGCAAATTATTCTCTTTTTTTCTTTTTTTTTATTCAATAAATCATCTTTAATAAAAATATGAATTAAATTGTGGAGTTTGACAATTTCAATAATTTTGTATTAAACAATTCTTAGGTCCCGAGCATATAGCCTTCAATTTTCTAACCTTTGAAAAAAAAAAGGATTTTTTTCTACCCTATAATTTTCTAGTGCATCACGCAAAATTTCTAAAATATTTTTTACACACTTTGTCCAAGCATATATGATATGTAAAAGTTAGGTACGAATTGGAAATACATCTCCGGTTGTAATCGTAAATATATTTTTAGTTGCATTCCAAATATACACAATGGTTTGGCCTTGGAATTCAAGCTCCAGTCAAGATATGAATCATAATTAAATTTACGGTAGTAATCAAATGTATATTTCCGGTTTGCGTTCTAACTTAAAGGTGCACTACCTTTTTCCTCTTCCTTTTAAAATAGTATTTTCAAACATAAAAAAAAAAACACAAAACACCCATTTCCTCTCAAATTCCATTGTTACAAAATCAAACCACTTCGCAAAAAACTCATCAGGAATCGTAAAATATCGGTTAACTTAACTGTTCAATCACATTCAATCAAGAGGCATCATCAATTGTAAGTTGTTTTTGAGTTTTTTTAGAGTTTATGTAATTTTTATTCAAATTTGTGATTTAGGATAGAAATTGTGAGTTTTTTGTGTGTGTTTTCAATATTAAGAGTCGTTAGAAAAGGGTTGGAAATCTCATTTTTATGATCAATGAACATTTTTAGAGGTCAATTGTGGCTATGCTTCGCCATTGACGAAACTCTGAAATTTCAGGTCGTACCAGAAATGTATTTTCGGTTTTCATTTTAACATTGAAGAAAACCTGTAATACATTTCCAGTTTAGTCTGTTTCCGCTTTTATCTTCATTTTGAACATTAGTCCTTATGTTAACGTTTGTTATGTACTTCTACAGAAGTAATGGTTGAGAGACCATGTAGGTTGAGCACGACAAACTTGCACAACATGCTTTTGCATGGAGGGGAAGAAGTCAGACATCCCAGGCTCCTTCTGCCTCTCGACACGCTGTGTCAGATGCGCCTACTACAACCTCAGTCTCCGGTGTTCTTATTTCTACTCCGACTTCATCGTCCTTCCACAGCAGGCGGGATTCTCCACTTCACCCCTCTCCGCCTCCGTCCTCCCGTAGACGCACTTTCTCACCAAGGGTATTTGAGGCGAGAGAGACATTTGATTCCCAACTGATATCAGAGGTCACACAACCGACATCTGAGGCTCAGCTACAACCTGCATCTCAGGCACCTGAGCCGATACCTGAGGCGGCACCTCAAACATCTCATACACCTGAGCCGGCACCTCAGGCAGCACCTTCGGTGCCTCAAGGTTTTAGAGGAGGACTGTCTGATTTATCTCTGCTGCCTTTGTACCTGGACCATATTTCTAGACATATATGGGACGGAGAGGTATGGATTTTGAACTGTTCCTTCTATTATATTTTTATTATGGATTTTTGCTGAATGAATTTTGTCAAATCATGTATGCAGGAACTTGATCCGCTGAAGGTCATTAATCATGGACGGAAGATCAGTAAACTCGAAGCCCCTATTGAGCCATGGTTTGATGAGTTGTTTCTTATAACGTCATTAATTGAGATATGATTAACGCTTTTGTTGAGAGGTGACACCATGAGAGGTTGTCATTCCATCTACCAAATGGTGAGATGACGATCACACTGGACGATGTCACGTCTCTGCTGCATCTTCTGATTAGAGGGACATTTTTAGATGACAGGATTGACAAATAGGAGGCGTTGAATATGTTTGTAGAGAAATTGAGAGTTACCCATGAGAGTGCCATGGCTGAGATGGACTTCACCCGTGGTGCTCACATTAAATATAGTTATTTGAAGACGGTGTTCACGAATGAGATAAGGCGTGCACGAGAGACATATGGTGATCTCGAGCAGGTTACCCTACACCAGAGGTTTGCTATGAGAGCATACCTTTTGTTTATGGTTGACACACAGATTTTTGTGAACATTAGTGCCACTTACACAGATGTGATGTACCTGGGGTACTTTGATGATTTTGAGCTGATCCACCAGTGAAACTGGGGGACTGCTTGTTTGGTGTATTTGTATACGAAGCTGTTTGAAGGATGTAAGTGGAAGACGAAGCATATAACTGACAACATCACACTTATGATAGTAAAATTTCTTGGTCTTTGTGGAATTTTGTTAATTATTGTGATTTTGTTACTAATTAATAATTATTGTTATTTCAGGGCTGGATCCTACAATACTTCTCCCGTATCTCAGGTTGATCACTTGCTACAGATTATACTGAAGATAAGCCGCGTGCCACTACATACAACCCGCTCTGAGGGAACCAGGCGACATAGCCGTTCTGGGTGTATATTGATCGGTTGGTGTTTAAGGACATACACTTCCATTCATACGTCGACTACCATGTCACAATACCGTTTGACGATGTTGCATCGTTTACGGGATGGATGGCTTGCGGGTCGCACAAGATGGCTGCTTATATGCCTGAGCACGTCATGCGTCAGTTCGGGTACACCTAGTACATTCCCCGATATCCTACTGTATCAGCTCCTCCGATGGTGAAATACGAGGATATGGATGCCTTGTTTGATGATTATGAGAATCATCTTATTCCAGATGAGGCCTGAAGTACCTTTGCTCCAAATGACTGGAGGTACGTAGATGGTTATATGATATAGTTCTTCAGGATATCCCATCCATAATTGGTACAGGATACTCCAGAAAACCTAGCAAGGCCAGCTCATCGGAAGATTCTAGAGGATGGGCAGGCTAGGGCCGATCATGCCACTGATGTGTTGCCTATGTGTCGTTGTATCATAGAGATCGCACAAACGGGTATTGATGGAGGTTTGTTTTCTGATGGATCTAATGTTAGAGGTGTTCTGGATTCCATCATGGCGGAGGCTCAAGAGGCTATGTTTTACAGGAGGCAACGAAGGAACACTGGGAGGGTGACAGGACGACTCAGAGTCTGCTATACTCAATAGTCTTTGTTGTTGTATTGTATTTTGGTTATCGTTTTTTGACTGTATTTGCATAATATTTTGGATTATCTCTTATATTGACTACGAGCACCTTTTGTACTGTTTGTCTTTGTTCTATATGTCTTTGTAGTATGCTTTGTTGTATACGTCTTTGTATTCAATGCGAAACAACATGCAAAAATATCCACTGCCAACATAAGTGTATTTGGTACTGTCTGCACAGAAACTGGAAATACATTTCTGGTTCGCTTTGTAAATGTATTTTCGGTTTCTAGTCAAGGTTTAACAGAAAAAGGTGCGCACCGAAAATATATTTCCGATTTCCAAGGGGCATTTTAGGAAATGCATATGACATTTCTTTACACTATAGGGTGGAAAAAGAAATTCTCAACAAAAAAAAATTCACTCCACCCTTAAGTAGATGTGCTTAGAATTTGGGGATTTATTCTCCGTGTCACTCTCACGTGAAAAATAAAAAATATTTTTGAAATTTAGAAATTTGATTTCAGATGTATCTTAGTCCACATTTAGTTCATCTGTAAGCGAGTTATATTTTTTATTTTTAACAAAAATTAATAGAAAAATATATCTCCGTATAATTTATTAAAGTGCATTTCAAGACAAAATTTTAATCGAAAACGTGTCAGACTCCCACCCCTTCTACATTTCCAGCTAACTTTCTCAAGTCACTAGAGGTGTTTGCGGGCCGGATTGGTTCGATTTTGAAAGAATCTGATACTCAAACTAATCAAAAATATATGGATTGATTTGGATTAGATTTTCATATTTTTTGATAAAATCCAAACCGAACCAAACCAAGAAATAACGGGTTGATTTGGGTTGGATTGATTGGATACATTAGAAACAAATAAGCGCAAATATTTTAA